GTGGTGTACGGTAGTGTGAAAAATCAACTAAAAAACCGTTAGCTTGTTTGCCGGTTAGCTGTTTTCCGAGCTTAGCTCTAACGAAAAGGCAGTCCTCACGTATTCGTCCGGCTTCTTTTAATCGGCGGTTTTACTAAGCGCTTGTTAATAAGATTAATGCGTGCAACACAAACAGTTTTTCTCATGCATTAAAATGCATTTCAATAAACTTTCAACCTCCCATTTGACACACATCGAATGAAAATATCACCGCTTCAATTACTTTATTATTATTGACAGACTCCGAACGGCTTCCGAGCATAAGGTACGATATTCGACACATCTTTATAGTTCAACCTTCGTGACGAAGGGAAAAATTGTGCATGTCATCTACATTGACGTCTAAACGGCTTTCGACAGGGTCTCTCATTAGCATCTCCCGCATAAACTGCGCAATGCAGGAGTTCGTGGGAACCTCCTCCTATGAATCCAAAACCTTTTGATCGTACGGTCCCCAAGAGTCGCGCATCAACAGTCCTCGGGGGTACCCGTGGTGAGTTGCGTCCCACGAGGTTCAGCTTTAGGTCCCATATTATTAATTGTTTTCATCAATGACTGCGTAAAGTACCTAGATTATAATTTAACCCTGTTCGCTGACGAAATAAAATTGTGGAAACTTGTCCAAAATACAGAAGATGAAAAACATCTGCAAGCTAACTTGAACAGGTTGAAGGACTGGTTGAAGTACTAGCCTATGCACTTCAATGTTAGTAAATGCAACTTTCCCCGAATCGACAGTTGTAGAGCATCCAGCCCGATGGTTTATTTCTTAAACGGTACACCGCTGCAACAAATTGACCATCAGAAGGATTTGGGTGCGTGGATTACTTCTTCATTCAAACCAACGCGGAACTGCACGAAGGCCGTGAAGTCAGCCAGACCAGGCGAGTGACCAGGCGAGCGTTTATGGGTTTTGAAAAAGAAAGCTTTTCCAACATATTTGGAAACTTCGTTCGGCCGCACCTAGAATTCGCTACACAGGCATGAGGACTCTGGACTGTCCAAGACTGTACCATCTTAGTGAAAGTCCAAAGGCAAAAATCCGGGAACACTGTCCTGCGAAAGCAGACTCTCAACTCACCCTATTTTCCTTTTCCTACAGGAAACTACGAGGGATCTCATACTAACCTTACGTATGATGAATAACCTGGATAATGTTTTGTCCCCAATGATTATTTTACCAAAACTGACACGCCCTCTCTGCGCGGTCATCCTCTAAAAATTCGCCACGGCAATACAAAGATCAATGCATTTAAATTTTTTTCTTCGGTAACACAGTGGTTGCAGCGTGAAATGCTTTTCCCGAAGAGGTTGTCCATTACACCTGTGTGAACACACCCAAGACCAAACTGGACACGCACCAAAAATTTTATTCGCCAGTGTCAATCTGATTCAATGAGAGTATTATACATACTTCTTATGCTACTATTGGTAAGCGAGTAGCCATATTTGATTATTATTTCGATTAGCCCAACTTTTCGCTTGAAGGCATGTAATTGATGTATTTTTTTCTTTTTCATTTCTATCGATGCATATTTTTGGACACCTTGTTATCAATAGGGAGCTCAAAGCATTCGCTTGTGTTTTTCCCAATAAATTGATACTGCCCACCCCCATCTGGTGTCCCACTTCCTCTTTTATCATAGAGAACCGGGTCTGAAGATCGCAGCGGTCAGGTTCTCTCTTAAAACTTAGGCTGCTGCGACATGTGCACTTGCGTCTTAACACAGGAATATGACCAGCATCCACCCACGTGATGTGTCTTCTATTCACGTTTCAATGATACGAACGTACCTGCAGGAAAACGAAAATCCAGATAAGTTTCGGAAGTCCGCGTTCAGTACAGATACAATTTTACACGTCACTGGGCCATATCATTCGCGAACCTTTTAATATTTGAGACTAAATCCACACTTCTTTACCCCTCCAAGACCACACTTCGTGCCAACCACAGAACAGGCGGCTAATAGGCAGTGCGTGACATTAAGTTGTTAGTAAAACACCATGATGGGCTCCGAACTCGGTTTGCTGCTTGAGATGTAACTAGTTGATCAGAAACGAGTTAGTTTCTCCCTTATTTGTCAATAGTACGAGTTTGAGCTGTAAAAATAACCTATGCTGACTTTTGCAGTCACAAAATGGCCACCCAACAGCGGCCCATGCGGTACTTTGCTGTGAATGTTAGGACACTTCCTTAACCTTTATTTCTGTCGCTTGCCCTATTTTGTACTACTGTTTAACGGGAGGCAGGACGCAAATACCCTTCCCCTCCCCCTTTGACTCCAAAAACCACGCCGTAGGCTTTAAAAGTGTGTGCGATTTAGTCACCCGTCATCGCGAGTGCTGGTGGCCCGGTCGTTAAAAAATAACGTCCCTTCAGCATTTTCAACAGGAGAACTATCCCTGTTATTCAAAAAATCCCTTTACCACCAGTAATATTATCATTTACAAGAATAAAGAACTACAACATTTTAACTGGCAAAACCCGCAGCGGTTTCACGACCTCATTAGTCGATGCTAACTACCAACACTGTAGCCTGCTCCAGACCAGTGACACCAAAGTGGGCAGATGACCAAGTTCGTTTGCTATACCTGGATCAGCTTGCGCCTACTCTGTGTGAAGATTAAATCAATCCAAATAGCCAAATCTGGAATGCTTTGGGTCAATACAGTTTTACAGGTAGCCCATGGAAGAAAAAACTTTTTCTCATTTTTTACAAAAGGGTTAAACTGTACACTGTGACTGTTGGAAGTTTAGACAGTCATATAGTAAAGTAAAACTATCCACAGCAGGCCTTTAGGGACACATAAACGGGGGCAGAGTCGGACCCTCCGGTTCGGCCTCTTCCTCCTTCTCCTTGGGAGCCTCTGTGCACTGCTGATCCAGAGTGAGGCCACTTTCGAAGGGTTCCCATAACTCCTCAAAGTGTACAATCTTGCGGCGCAGGCTGTCCAGAGGCTCACGCTTAGGATTGCGCCAGAGCTCCGAAGACTTGTCAAGGAAGCCACCAATAACCTCCTAAAGTCATGGTAGAGAAAATAAAACATCGTCAAGTCAAGAGGAATTTACAGCAGAAGAAGGTTGAAGGCGATGTAAGTGCGTGTGTTGGAAAAGGAGGAATAATCTGGCCTACCTAGCAAAAACCTGGAAATTGAACAGCTGACGTAACAACTCCACTTTTTGGGAGAAGGGACGGAAAAAAGGAAGAAAGAAAAAAGCGCGCCAGCCACCAAATACGTTAGCAGCTGTCGCGCGGCTTAAAAACTGGAAGGTAGTCTCTACTTCATTGGGTAACAACGTAATCAGACGCGTCACGAAGTGGATTTATTTAAAACAAAATGACGAATAATGGTGATAAAGTGTGGGAAAAACGTGCTGTACTTAATTTCCGTTAGGATGGCTTGTATGGCCGCCTAAATAGGATTCAGAAACAGGAACCCAATTCCAAGGAAATTATTTTTAAGGATTGTTACGACCCGCGCCTGGTACGTTAAATTAGCACGAACCGGTTCCCAAGATCCCGTAAGACCGAGACAGAGGGAAGACCAGTCGGCCAGAGAGAGAGAACGTGTATTCAGAAAGAACACGTGAGTGCAAGTCAAGTCAGACACAGGCTGCATGTATTTTAAAGGAAATGCGAGATATATAGTCCGACAATGGGCCAATCAGGACTGAGCAGGCAAGACTGGCTCACGGCGAGCGGCTCTCGCGACGCCGTTGAGTGCGTTGACTCATCATGAGAGTAGCCGCATTCCCAACAAGGATAAATGTGAGAGTTAGGGTAAAGGTCAGAATTCAGGATAGGGTCAGCACCATTGTGAGGATTGAGTTATGTAAAGTTTAGGTGCAGGGTAAGATTACAGTTTAGTGTCAATTTAGGGTTGAGGGACGGAGATATTTACCTTTCAGTTAAATTTATCGGAAGGTCACCTACTTTCAGTGGGCGGTACGATTCCTGTTCCCGTTTAGGCGGCCGTACAAGTCATTCTTAAGAGAATTCCCTCAGGAGGTGTGACAATCCTACGAATACAACATGTTTTGGTTCCGAAATTTACAAAGAAAGCCCGAGCGAAAATTGCAAACATGTCAATAACTGATATGCCATCACCATCTTTAAACGATTAAGTGTGCTTTTTTAGCGTTTGAATAGTTAGACTTGACCTCTGTCAGGGTCTGAAATGCAGCTGCGCTGGCCTCAGACGGACAGGCCTTATATATAGGCCTTTACGTGGTATCGGCCACTGCGTCCAATCGTGTGTGTTCGACCATCGATTTTGATTAAGTTTACTATATGCACCAAACAGGTTGGCGCAGGAAAGCAACTGGAGATCAGGGGGTAGATTTAAGTGATAATAGACGTACCAGGCGCCACTCGCACTCTCCACCTTCACCTGGGTCAAGAAGACCAGACAGGATCAGGCGTTGGCCGCTTCCCCCAACGCA